AGATTCACGAGAATCACGATGGCTCTGTCGATCGAACAAAGACCGACTTGTACATGCACCTTGTAAATCGTCGAGACAATTCCATTCTCGAAGTGTCGGAGGTTCTCGAATTGGTGGACAGAAATATAGAGAAGCTCGACGGTCTGTTCAAGGAATTCAATGTTCTGGACACGCAAGCGGCCCAGTATCAACCTATTGTTCAGTACGAGCAAGCGGGAACCACTTTTTGGCTTTTGACTTTGACCTTGTTTCTGGGTGCTCTGCTAATTCTCTGCATAGCCCTCTGTCTCTCGCAGAGGGCCTCGTTTCGAAGGCAATTGAAAGCAGCTAACGCCACCCCGTTTGGTAAATATCATATCGATTAAATTTATCATCGAATTGTAATAACTCGAAATACAAGTGATAAATTTATGAAAATTTATGAAAATTATTCGCTTTTGTTTAAGGAACCTCGGACGCGGAATTTATCAGAGGACCCGGCCGCGTACCGAACACGAACAAGCACAGCGTGGAAGGTTCCAATCCCATATGGATGCATGCTTACGAGAACGAATGGTTTAAAAGTGACGAATCGATCAGTCATATGTCCGAAAGAGACTCTTTGGACGAAAATGCGCTGAACAACGAAGAGATAATGAACGAAGCTAACGCAAACCAAAGAAACGATGATAAACCGTATTATATCGAGCCAAGAGTGTCTTCCATTTCGAGGTAACTTGATTAATTGGTTCATGGAATAGATTTTCTGGATGCGTTAGATATAATAGAAAATCAATTTTGATTTTATAGCGCGGAAAGTATTCCAGATATACCAAATGACTTCCATCGAAGTTCACCAATATATAGAATGCAAAATAATATCGTCAATCCTCTTGGCAAAAAAATAGAAACGACAGAGCTGTAATTGAACAACGATCATCATTTTATATTAGATAAGAGATGTTTATTTATACGATAATATTTATATAATTTTCGTTAAGAGAGTGTAAAGTTAAAATAATTTTGTGTAAATAGTTCGTACAACAAGTTCGTACAAGCGCAGTAATAAGTATATTTAATATATTTATTTTATAATAATTTAAAAAAAAAAGTAACGATTATATTATCTTTTTATTTACCGATCTTTTGCCTCGTGCCTATGGTAACAAGTACAAGCGTTTATCTTTAATGAACTTAATTCGCAAGTACACAATCATGACTCATCGGTTTAAATTTAGAAATTTAATGATCTCTGCACATCAATACTTTAAATACATTTGTACACCTTCATACTTTTTTTTTTTTTTAAGAAATAAAATAATTAATTCAATAATACTTTTAATTTTATCCTTTGCAATTTACAATTAACTAATACTAAGAATCTAATTTTTATTTGTGTCACGTTCAATACGTAACGTTTGTTTAATAATAAAAAAATGTTTTATTCACCAGTATGGTGCTACCATCTACCGGTTTCACAAAGAATATGTCTACTATTATCTAACGTTCTTACAGCAAGAAATGATTAATTACAGATTTAATCAATTGGATATTCTGTCATTATTGTTTAACATTTATTAAATCATTCTAAAATATATTTTCTCCAAGAATTGAGTTTAAAGCACGAATCTTAAAGAGATAGTGACAATATTTTTAAAATAAACGATTCCAATTTTCGTAATTTATACAACTTTGCAATTCCCCGTTCCAATTGTTCCAAAATAATTTTCATTTTAATAATATCGCCTGTGCTTAAATTGCTATACGTAAAAACTGCTATCTCATATCGAGCCCTTATAAATTAGAACGTGAAAACCGGGCATGCAAAATGAAGCCAACCCTCCCCCCGGAACAATCTTGCTAGTGTATACGTATCCAAAACTGGGTCGCATAATATTAAAGCGCGATGGCACTTGCACGAAGTCCAAGCCGATGATCAAAACGATGATCCCTTCGTAGTAACTCATGGCAAAGGTTTAGTTTAGTTTATGGTTTTACGATCGATCATAATATATTTTCAGCGAAATTGTTTTTTTCTCTTTTCTTTTTTTTTCAACGGCGAGAGATCGTTATCCGCGAGAAGGTTATGGTGGTGGCTCGTAACGATGGTATCGCGGCACGAAATACCACTAAAAGAAGTATCCATTGTTCGAATGCAAATGAAGCTTGTTGGTACCGGTGACCTCGATGGGTCAGTCACACTTCTCGATCCCTTTCACCCTTAACTTCTATCGCGTTTAATACGAGACATTTCTTGACTTCAACCACGCCTTATCGTCTTATCAATCGTGAGGGAATTGGAATAAAAGATGGACGAAAAATCGTGAAAGACGCGTCTTTTTCGATCGATATCTAAATCAACATTTTGAATCAATGGATTTCGATTAAAGGAAAACTTTGTTGAATAAATTGTAAGAAAAAGAAAAATTAGAGATAAAATTGTATATATAATGAAGAAGAGATTAATTGGTAAATTTTGTAATAACATATTTACATAACTGTCCACGTTTCGTTCGCACTTGAAACAGGAAGTTTCATAAATAGAGGTTGTCGCATACGTTTTACGGGACGGAAAATGAGCGAGGCAGAAGTCGTACGCACAGAAATCGGTTGTAGGTTGAGAGGTGAGGTAGCCGAGGAAACGGCCACCTTAACTCCCTTATCCTATTCCTGAACGTCAGCTTCGCGTGCAACCTTATGCTAATCTCGATCGGGTATATAAGCGACTGGTCAGTCGGTTCCCTTCTGCCTCTGCTTTTCAACCCTTCACGAGTCCACACCGACCAACGGAACAGCCTAGCACTGGCGTTTCCATTAAAATCGGTGGCGTAGCAGCGGTCCTTAATTGATCGTATTTCCAGATAAATGGGATTCCAAATAAATAAACGAAAAAAAAAAAAAAAAAAAAAGGAAAAATTAAAACTTTCGTTAACGAATCTTACAATTGATAATGCATCCTTGATTCCCCTCGTAAAAATTATCTCGCATCAATTTCCTCTGTTACCAACTTTTAACTATCGCGTATGCCATGTTTATAATTTTTTACGCCACGTATTCCTGCAAATGACAAGTAATCGTTACTTATCCTGGAGTTATATTTAGCTGCTTGTGCCGATCTTGTTTCACGCTATTACTACATCGTGTAGCGATGTATTTATTCTAATTTGCATGCACCGATCCTTTATCGCAACCTCGATAATATCGATAACAGTTCTCTCTCAAACGTCTTTATCCTTTCGTTAAATTTTTTCCAAATTGTTATTTTAATATTTAATTACATTTAAATTATATAAATTAATTTAATCGTATAAAGATTTTCGAATGATTTTATGAGCACATGTTATAACATTATATGGAAAGTAGAATTTTATTAATTCGTTAAATCAATCAAGAAAAAAATAAAAAATCGTTATAAATCGTTCAACGTCCAAAGCGTAATTAAATAATATCAGGATTATTTACGACATGAAACTCTGACAGTAGTTTTAATCACAGACAAGTTATCTCGTCTGGACGATTAGAGTAAAGAAATCGAACTCTTGAGATGTGTATCGTCGAAATTTGCTCCCCGTGGAAAACAAATCACGCGACCCCCGCGTTAAAGAACCCCTCCTTATTAGGGAGTGCGTAGCGTATAATACCGAGGCCCTGACTTCTCGAGCCCTGACTCATCGACGTTACACTGCTATTCGGTATTACATCGATAACTTGCAATTTTTTCGTACGACCTTCCGGAAATCTTATAATTTCATCTACGCAATTTTTTAAGGAATGAATTATTTAAAAAAAAAAAAATAAAATAAAAAGAACGAAGAGAATATATTTTGCGTGACCTTTGATAGCGAAGGTGCGATATCTATCTGATCCGAAAGAAAAGAATTAATAAGAATAATTGGGAGCAGTGATAACAGTGAAGAAAGTTCAAGGTAAATGATATAGTTCCAAGGATTGGTTCACGAAGAGAAGGTGATTCACGATCGTGATATTAAATTGTAAAAAAAAATTTCAAGAAATTAGAATTGTAAGAAATTATCGTTTCAAACTGTGTGAAAAGATTTTTGTGAATTAATTCAGTCGGTGTATTAAGTAAGCAAGTATATTAACTATTTTCTGCACCACGTTATCGCGATGATCTTTAAATATAATCAATTCAAGGTTGATACAGGCCATTAAAAACTAGTTACAAGCTCATACATTATTACAATTTTGTACTTTGCCCTAGAATCCGCAGTGAGGATTTGCATAAACGTTACCTTTATACGCATTATTAATGCCGCAAAATTTCACAGCTGGAACACGTTTAGATCAAAATAAATTTCTGAGAAATGGCGACTAAAAAAGGAAAATGTGAATTTCACTTTCATCGAATATTTCTAGCGTGTATCGATTTTGTTTCAAGTATTTCGCAAAAAAAAAAAAAAAATTAATTATCTCGATACAATCGAAAAATTCTGACCAAAAATCGGCGATCCAATAACAATAATAAGAAGAAAAGGTGGATGCACCTTCGACAACCTGTGAAGAGGGGATGACCGGTGTTTCGCGGGGTACACGTGACACGAACGTATAGAGTTCGAGTTGAGGGTTGAACGAGACAACCCCTTCACATGCGCGGCGTTCGCGGCCACGTGAAGTGGTGCGTTCTTCCACAACTCTCGAAAATGTCGACCATCGACCACGGTTAAAACTCCTCGCGTTAAAATCTAAATTTCCTTTCGTGGAAATTCTTTGGTCAAAAAAAAAAAAAAA